TAAGTAATATTCTTTTATTATAAAATTAATCTTAATTACTCTGACCTTAATTAATTATTATTAAACTTTTCCTGTGTTCTCATAAATATGGACCCTTAAATACTTGTTTAACTTTGCTCGGAGAAAAAATAATCTAAAGTTTGCTTACACAATTACGACTCGAAGTTACTGAATCCGGGTTTATCGATAATAATATTAGCGCAGTCTCGCGAAATCCAAGTATATACCTTATTTATGATTTACATAAATATTTTAACACTTCATAAATCATTTTAAAATTTCGCAGTTTAGAAAATATGAATTACAATGAATGAATTACAATTACTATTGAAATTTCTGTATCTACTTTTGTCTAAATTCCTTAAAAATCTATAAAAAATTGAAGAAACTATTTGTACAATTATATGAATAATCAATCCGAAACATGGTAATATAAATAGTGGACTAGTAATTGCTTGGTACATTTTCTTTGTTATTTTTTTATATTATATTTGATCTTTTACAATAGAAATAAAGAGTTTTATCAGTAATGTGAATACACACGGTTGATTCCATGTTTGATATCAACTTATTTCTTACCATCAAGGAACTTTTTAATTACTATTTTTTCTGTAAATCTTTAAAGTTTTATTTTCAGTACCATGCTTACTAAATCTTGTTATTAAAAATACTATATCTCAATATATACAAATTTTGCTTCAAGTAATAGGCTATATATGGAGACTATTGTTTTATCCTTTATTAGTAAATTTTGAAACCATTCAAGCCTTTGCGTTATATTCTGTCAAATCGATCAAGTCCTTAATTATTATCAATCATACTTTATCAACCCTATATATGTACAAGATGGTAATACAATTAGGAGAGTAGATGGACCTCTCGTTCACGCCCTAATACACCAAAATGCTAACAAGGAGTAAATGAATTAATAATTCAAATCAGGTTACCCTAAAGCCGTTTTATTCAGCAGTAAAATAATTTTGATGATTTATTTCATATATGTATATATATATATATATATATATATATATATATATATATATATATATTATATATATCAAAATTTTGAGAAGAAGAATATATATTCTTCTTCTCAAAATTTTCAAAAATATTCTATTAATATTCCTTTTAAAATGAACAATAGAAAGCATTGATTTAACTCTTAAAAAAATCTAAAGAGTGGAAATAAATTTTTAAATTGTATTCATAGAAACCTTAAGAGCCACTTAATTTTTTTTATTCATTTTAATCAAATACTGGAAATTATAAGATCAGTATTATTTTATGGTATTAATTATATTTTCATTTCACAAGATATTTTTCTTTACCAGGCCTGATTGTATATCGTTTAAGACTTCGTTATACTAAAGATAAATATACACACGGTAAAGATATTGCTAGCTATGTACTAATGAACAATGTTGTCTGTACATATTTTTAGTTCAATGCAAAATAGAAATACTTCACAGAAATTGTTAAAAAGTAATAAATAAACTCGTCTGTTAAAAGTTTTCATTGTTAGTATCCGGTTCCAACTTTAACAATTTCTGATATCAATTTTGCATCATCCGCATATTTCATATGCAATGTTCAGTTTAACAGTAAATGTTAAAAAGATATAGACAAAAACTCAAGAAACGTCATTCGAAAAATCGAGGTAAAGAAATATTGTAGATTTATATAAAGAATACCTAGAAATGTGGTACATATTTTAATAAAATAACTAAATTTTGCCGTGGCCTGATGTTATATTTTAAATATATCTAAATATGTATTACATACCTTAAAATTATATAACAATAAAATTTTACTTTTAATCATCTTTTAAAGTTGATCTTGATATGAGATATAATTTTCTCAGAATATCATGGATTCATCGTGCGGTTGCCGGGAGAGGAGCTTCAACAGTGACTGGGACTTGCAACCCAGGTGTAGGTTTGAACGACTCCTATCTAACGAGCGTTAAACGCTCACCTCCACCGTTCAAGTTCCTCTATCTACCTAACCAAATTAGAAAAGAACCTACAAGGGCTGCATTCAACGCCCGTTCCAAGAATGAGCTAATGTTTGTTCTGGACAGGCTCAAGTCATTTAGTAAGTAGTAAAGTGATTTGGCTGTTGTACCTCTCACTCTCACTTCTATCGCGTACAAATTTGCAAGGAATATATTTTTAGTGAGTTTGTTAGTAAGTTCATAATACTTGTTGACTTTGATGGTATGGTACTTGGGGATGTTGGCTTCTCAAAGGTCCATGGGCTCTATTAGCACAAAGCACTTTAAAATTGATGATGTCTGATCTGGACACCGACACACAAATATGCTCTAATGAGTTTAAGTTTTCCCATAAATCCATATTTAATACGTATCTAATATTATTGGCCAATGCGGAGGTGCTTTAAGGATAGAGTAAGGCTTGACGTGTGTTTTTGTAGCCCTAGTGCCTTCTCTCTCAAAACAGAATATAATTGGGATGATTATTAGTTTTATATACTCCATCATTAGGGATGGCAACTCATTTGCAATTTTTTAACTGTCCGAATGTTGTTGGGAGTTGGTGTTGATTTTAATCAGCAGAACTGGCTTTTTAAATCAGAAAATAAATGTTAAATTTAGGCGAACCAATTATATTATATTAATTAATTAAACAAATAATCTTTTCCTTTTGGTTATGTTTACCCCGAAAAATAAACTAAACATTCAGATATTCTACATCAAATAACGAAGTTGAAAAAAAAATTATAATAATTTTAAAATATTCTTATTTCTTCGAAGTGAAGTGAAATTTTGGTTTGTGTTTTTATGTAACAAGAAATGCCTTGAACTTTAGCAAAGTCAAGGGTGGATGTGCTTATTATTTTTCAAAACAACATTATGCCAATCATTTAAACTTAAATTAATGCTCCAAGGTTAAACTTAACTATGAAGTTTATATTTAACGGTGTTTGATAAGGTATTTGAATACATTTTTAAGTTTTTATTTTAAAACTAAACGCTTGATACTTTTATAAAATATAATTGTAGATCTTATTAGTATATTTTCCTCAATTTAATTTAACCTCTATTTATACTTTTGAAAATATAATTTTCAGTTTAATTTTATTTTGTGTTCTATAATGGTATTAAAATTTTTTTCTTGTACAGAATTTGTATAAATTTTCGTATTGTATCTAATTCTATGGCTGTCGCATCAGTTTACTTTTGGTTTCAAGCCCTAACGACTTCAATGCGGTCCGACCTTGGCTGCGATCGATTCTTTACCACCAGACAATTTATATAACGTTTCATAATTTCATTGTTTTAATATTATGTTTCTGGTCAAATAAAGATTTAACCACATTGTATTTGAATTTTATAATTTATCTGGCTTCTTCTGTTTTGTATAGAATTATAATCAACCATACGTAAAAGGTACGATATGGCAATGAAAAATATTTTAAATTTTAACGTTTGATTTTATTTTATGAAACTATTTTGATACTTAAGGTTTAAAATATTTCTTCTGTTTTATTAAACTTTACGTTGTAATAGTTACATTTCAGTAACTTTTTTTTAATGATAAAAGAGTTGCGTTTTAAACAACAAAATATTAATTATGGAATATATTAATTTCAAGTAAAAGTAACCTAAATAAGATAAGTATAACAGTGCTTATTTATGCTTTACGTGACAAATTACCTTAAATACGATATGTTTATTTCTTTTTTGTGATATTGGTAAAAGTGAAAGTATCATTTGACAAAAATTTAAAATGATATATAATGATTTTATTTGTTCTCATAAGTCATTGTAATTTACGAACACTTACATAATTGTAGTCACAAAACCGCATGATTTCTGTAGTTGATCGTAACACAGCAACGTCCCTGAACTTGTTGGCTTTGTTCAGTGTCCAGTGCATTTCTAACTGGTCGTGGTCGACGGAAGCAGTAAATTGTGATCTCGTTTCTAAAACGTATGGGACCTAAAGAGTAGATTATGATTTATGTTGTCATGAATGACGATTAAGATTCTTAAAGCATGTTGAAATAAACATTTTTATAATTTCTTATTATGTTTTAAGTAATTAATGTTTGGCTTAAGAGTTGGATTTAAATTTTGAATAGTTATACCTAACAAACTCCTCAACTTAAACACGATATTCCAGAAGTCATATGTTTGATATGAGAATTTGAATTTTATTTGATTTTGACCCAAGTTTAGTGAATAAAGATAAACTTTTTTAATATAAAGTTTTCCTATGAATATTCAGTTGTTCGTTGTCCAGCTAAAAATTTGTTATTTATTTCTAAAAATTTAAAATTTATATATTCTATTTTATTCCGTTTTTCTTAGTTTATTGTGTTTAAATAAATAATGATTTTTAAACTAAGTTATTTGACCTTATGTCCTTTCTCTGGATTATGACATGAAATAGTGCGAGAATATAAACTACGTTGAATAGAGAAACGCTCCTGTAATAAGGATATGCCGTCGGTTTGTGGCCATTAGCTTACAATTACTGTGACCGCTAATTGACGTAAGTGACGTCGCTCCGTCATTCTTACTATTGTTGTTTGATTTACTGTTTTCGATTCTTCAAAAGGTTAACAAAAATAACTCTATTGTGTGAAAATTTTACTGTTTGGCAATTTTGTGTGATGAAAAATGTATTCAGTGGGTCCATTTGTTCAATTTCAAACATTTCTTTAAAAGGTCACGACCATTTTAAACTTTCTTAATATAATTAATGTCAACTGAAAATTATTTTTGTTTTCAAATAACTATAATTTTATAAAAAAGTTTTTATGATTATTTTTCTTGCAACATTACGTATGTATGTACAGAAAAAATGTATAAAATATACTTCTACATATCTTAATTCAAAATTAAAACCCACAAATTCCCGAATTTTTTTTACATAGCTCTGGATATTTCTGATTGGCTTTCTGTGCATTAACTTTATTAGATTACATTATTCAAAGAAACCTTCCAAAGTCTAGTGTTACTTCAGCTAGTCAACATGGCGGATGGTTAGAATTTTATAAATTATTGTACTAAATAATATTCGTATTTTAATATTGTGTTTTTGTGTAAACCAATAATCTGCTATTAAAGAAGTATTTTTTACGTATTTTAGTAGACTCTGGAATAGCAAAAACTGGTGCATACAAATACGAAGATGGTACTCGCTATGTGGGTGAGTGGAATTCTAAGGGACAAAAGCATGGTATGGGCCATCTAGTGCTTCCCGATGGTACAAGATATGATGGTGCGCTGGCCAGTGGACTATGCTCCGGACTAGGTGTTATGGCATTCCCTGATGGAGCTAAGTATGTCAAAATAAAAGTAATTAATTCATTTACTTAAATAACTGTAATACCTGAAATTTAGGTTTATGTTCAATGCATAGACATATACTAAAGGATATGCCGTACGAGTATAATCTGCAGTAATTTTTTGGTTTGAAAAGAGTGAGAGAGATGGCCTATGCTTTCGGTCTATAACTATCTCTTTCCTCATAGATGATTGACGCTCGGTTTTGATTACAGCACGGCATTACTATATGTCGATGGTTCAATCCTTCTAATAATTGTATTTGTAGTTCTTAATGCGAGACGCCTGGTAAATAAAAATAGCAGTCATTGTTAATGGTATTTATAGCCTGAAGTTTTAAGGCGCTTACCTAAAGTATTTATGTTTTACTTTTTAACTCACATTAAAGAGAAAACTATCACAAATTAAATGAATGATAAAATAATTACTAATACATCTTATTGTTACAACCAATCTATTAACTTCATTATAAAAATTTCGTTCTAAGAAAAATTATGAAAACTATCAAATCTAATTTCTCAATGAAATTAATATTTTTGAAATTACTAAACGTATTACATTATTTTTTAAAACTACATACTCCCAACGTTTCAGTTACTTTGCATCAACGAATACGCGTAATGAATACTCACGAAAGTTTTAGATCTCCTTAACTACCAAATCCTTCAAAATATTTAGTGTTTTTTTATCAATGTTCAAGCTAAGACGAATCTTTAAGATGTGGAAAACCGTTCAATCATTATATATATTTCTAACTTTCCTATTATGTTATATTATTCATGTGGGTTAATATCTTTTTTAGATATATAATTATATTGGAATTGTTACGTCTTCCCCATTTTTATTATATGTGAAGTAAGTTTTCTATGGAATTTCTATTTGTAATATGTTTTACTATAGGTACTGAAATATTTTATTTTGTAAATTTTCATTACTTTCAAATATTATTTCTATTGTGAACAGAAATTATGAAACCATAACCATTTCAATTAGTGATTTTGATTTGTATAAACAAACGCAATCAGGATAATAAAAATAACTTTAAAATAATAATAGTTATAACATAAAATTATATGAGACACATTTGAAATAAAATACAACACAATTATTATTGTGTGTAATAGAAATGACTGAAGTGCGAGAAACTTAAAATGTTTTTCTAGAAAAGTTCTAGATAAAATTTTCATGATTTTACTATTCTTAATCACTGTACTAAATATTGCATTGTATGTTGTCCGCGTAAATTTATACCTCAAATATTTTATTCGTTTTAGATATGAAGGAGAATTCATGCAAGGATGGTTCCATGGTCATGGAGTATTTTGGCGAGCTGATGGTATGAAATTCGAAGGAGAATTTCGAGGTGGACGCGTTTGGGGATTGGGTTAGTTGTCTTTAATTTCTTGATAGCAACATTTGAATTAATTGTTTATTATTTTACTATAAGAAGACGACTCACCAAGTGTAGTGTAAATTTTTGGATTAGTTTAAAGGATTGAAATTAAGTTGAAGTTGAAATTGAAATTGAAATTGGAATAGAATGGGATGGAAATAATAACAAAACTTAGGCCTTATCTTGAAATGAATAATTGATGAATAAATTTTAATTGAATGAATTAATGAATCAAATGAATGAATAAAAGGTAAACAATTGTGTATACAAGATTAATATCTAGGTCTTATCATCACAAATAACAGCGGTGGTTAAATAAGATTAAAAGTAAGATTTATTATAATATTTTATTTAAAATCTCTGAGAGTTCGGCTTCCGAGTTAGCAATAATTTCTAATATTATAGAACCTAGGTGAGGTCAAGATACTAGAGTTCGAATATGGGCTGGCTTGACCGGGGAAGTACCACCCTCTCTCAGAAGATTGGCGTAAAGTAGTCTTTAATGGTTGCATTTCTTCCGATGAGTGAGAGAGCTGGTTGCCTTTCTCTGTTCCTACCATTTCCTACCATCCATCTCCTTACTCCTTCTTAGGAGGAAAGGTTTGTAACCTTTCCTCCTTCTTCATCAACTAAGGCTGAAACCACATTCGCAAAATGGGCAAATCTGACTACTTCGCATAAAATCATTCCTGGGCTCGTTTACCAGCTTTGAGATTAAAAAAAAAGAATTTTATATTTCTTGACAATAATACTTTCGAAAAATAGCATACGAAGTATATTTGTAGATTTATTTTCAATTCACATTTACAAAAAAGGATATTATAGGTTATCTGATATTAATGCGTAGTCTGATATCACGTTCACAGATTTTACATAACTGTTATGTTAGAGATATCCACTCTGTGGTACTCAAAATACCATTACAATATACGAGTATATCTTCTGAGACGTGATTGAAATTGAAATTCTGTAATATCTAACTATATTTTTCCTACCATTGCTTTTGCTTTCATAATATAATATCAAGACGAGCAGATAATATTGTGCGGGTTGATTAAAAAAAAACTTTATAGGAATTTATTCATTTATTTGAACTATTTTATGTTATGTCTACAATCTTTAAGACATACAGTGAAAGTTTCAATACCTATTGTTGCTTCCTTGTAAATAGATTTAAACATTGATATTTAACCATGTGATGTGTTGACTTGTGTTTTGCAGGCATCGTAACTTTCAATGACGGAAGCAATGGTTTTCCAAGAAACGAAGGTTATTTCCAAGATTGTAGAATGGTGCGTCGTAAGCGTTGTCCCGAAGTGGTGCAGAGAGCTCAGAAGGTGGCTTACATGGCGAGAGCTCAGTGTCAACAGATGTGATTAACATAAAACATCGAATCTTTTTAATTCCCAATTTTAGCTGCTTGGGAAAAATAAATATTCAAGTTTTTTTATATCATAAAAAGTATTATACTTAATAGTTAAATTTCCATTAAAAATAATAGCAACCAATCTTATTGTTTAATATAATGACACAGTGTGATATTTTATTTTCTACACTTAATTATCATATTCATCAGATTTACAGTTTATTAATAAAAAGTAACGAAGTTAAATAAACAGTATTAAAATTATAAAATATTTAATAATCAAAACGAGAAGAAATAAATTGTAAATGTTAGATAAATAAAAGATTAAATTGTTAAAATTCTGATAACACCTTAAAGTTTGCTTATTGTTATAAGAAAGTATTAAACTATTAAAATATAAATATTTAATAAAAACTTGAGAAAGTCATATAATAAGTTAATTAAAAAAATAAGTAACGATGTAGTTACAACATTTTATTATTCCGTTAAATTAAATTTAGTGCTTCCTTTTAATCTCGAGAATCAACAGTCCTAATGTGTGAGGAGGTTAATATATAGCCATCACAATCAAGTCTTTGTTTTCATAAAAACTTTCTAGTTAGCCCAATTATTAATGTTGGAATTGATTATACTTTCTAAATATTCAATAGCCTTTTTATCGAGGTGTTTGTGGTGAAAGGGCGCTTAAATTATGTAAATTATAAAGAAACTCCTGCTTCGTTCATCAATTATTGGAGACGAGATTATTTTTAAAATATAATAAAATAATGTGAAAATAAAAGAGCAAATTAACCCAACTGTTTTATTAAAAATAATGGCTACTAAGTATTTATAACTTACAATTATTCTATTTTAATAAATAGGTTATATAAGATATATTATTTGAAATTCTTTAGTTCGATTTCAATTTCCTATGACGTATGGTTTCTTCGTCGTCCAAACACTGACCGTATCTTACTTCCATACATTTACTTCCCTGAAAGAAAATTACAAAATTAAAAGCACATGTATAGAAACATAACTTTTTAATTTCACATTAGAATCAGTTAATTTAAAAAAATCAAAAAGGTTGCTACTCATATTTTTTATAGAAAGCGCATACGTTTTGTCATTAAAATATCATTATAGTATATTTATGAATACGAGACATTAGTTTTTCGGACGAAATAAGAATTTATGCCTTTTAAAAGTTGACTAACTATTAGGAGGCCATTCATAGTCCTATATACATATATTTACTAACATGGGCGTGTTCCTAACAATCTATATACAGGTTTAGTGACCGTGTCAGCGAGATGGGTATTTTATTACTCTCATACGGATGTTGACTTGAAAGTAAAACGTAATGATGTAACGAGACTTGCTACAAAACCTGTTACACACTCACTTTCACTCGGAACCTCCAGTTGTATGCGGAAAACGTAACCGGTCATTACTCATTATAATTTTAATGTTGCTGATTACAGTTGGGATCCGATCTCGGAAGGTGACACGCTTGGTGGTTCGATAGATAGAACGTAGGTGCTAATTATGATTGTGATAGCAAAATTAAAACTATAGGCAAATTAATCTGATATTGGAAGTATTTTTTTAACCTTTGAATAAATTATTATAAACAAAAGAAAAGATTAAATGTGAATTTCTAATTTAATGACAAAATGATATCCTAAATCTTGCAGTTTCCATTGTGTAAGGAACCGTAAAAGACGTTTGAATATATGGTCGTAAAAATTTAATCAACTCTCACCTTCGCCATGTAAGCTTTCATGTAGAAGTTGCCAAAAAGAACGATGAAGGAGATCATGTATATGATAAGGACGTAGTGCATCCACAACGGGAACTCACAGCCGGTTCGAATACCGTTGATGCCGAGGATAAGAGCGCAAGAGAATTGGATCTGGATTGTAAAAAAAATCTTTATATAATTTTCTTTCTAAATCTGGCATGTATAGTTTGAAGTCAAAAACTCTTGGAAGGTTCAACATTTTTATGGAGTCTGAATATACAATAAAAAACACATAATTTACATATCTTTTAAAATATTCTACTTATTTAAGTTAAAAGAAAATTTATGAATACAGCTTTCAGTAATATTTCATATTATTTTATCTTTTTCTAACCGATATCCAAAAATATCATGTTTTATATGAAACCCGAAAATATCTAAACATGTAAATTAATTCTGAAAACACCTTTATGAATATATTAACGTTTTGACAAATAAACATACCAATTGTAAAATGGTCAAATACTTTTTCCACCAAAGGTACTGGCTCACTCGTGGACCAAATACTGAAAGACCGTAGTATGTATACATTAGAACATGTATACCGCTATTTACCATCGCTGGAAGGAACGCTGAAAAGAAAATTACAATAAATGGGTTAGTTTATTAATAAAAGATGTTTTTTTTTTTCAATATTGCTGCTATGTGGCCATGGTTTTATTCCAGTAATAACTTACTTGATCCACTTGGAACCCATTTGATGCCAATCCACCAGAAACCGAACATAGTTGAATGATGGTAAACATGCAAAAATGTTAGTTGCTCTTCTTTTTTTCTTAGAATAAAGAAGAATGTGTCACAGAACTCAAGTAACTTCGAAAAATAATACCACCAAACAGCATTGGCTATCTACGAACAAAAAAAAAGACAGAGTTAATAAAAAAAATATCCGAAAAAACAATCTTTTATCTTTTAATATACTAGTATATAGAAAAGTTAACATCGCAAGAATAACAGAATATTTATTCATATACATGGTTCGCCACAATGAAAAATTATAAATTATATTGAAGTTATAAATAATTATAAAACCAATTCTTCAGCATATTACAAACGAGAAAGTTGTTTTACATGTAATTAATCCATCACTTACTAACTCCCGCGAGTATAATTTAATTTTAAAAGAAATTTCATAATTAAATGTTGAAAAGCAAACAAAAATTAATAACATACTATAGAAAATTTTTTTTGCTCCTTTTCTAAATGAGTTACCATTCACTTCGTCACATTATATACCAAATTGCATTTAAAGAAATTGGCTGCCCTATAAATTCCATATCATAGAACTACCTATAATTATAAATCATAGACTATATTTAAATAATCAATCTCCATTTACGAATTAAAATATGCAAACAGATGGAGCCTAAACCTTTAAATTACTCGTAATTAATTAGAGATTATATGAAACTATAGAACCTTAAACGCTGACCGTAATTATTAAGTTTCCAGAGCTACGTGTTGCCGCATTTTGTACAGCCAATGTTGAAACTTCTCAGACATTTGGAACCATATGGGACCATATGTTGACCGTCAAAACTTAATACTACTTATTATTACGTTAAACAAACTTTATTCTTTATGTATCATGTTTTTCTAATTAAGATTTAAGTATATGGATAATTTGAAAAAAAAATATTAATACCGTCGCCAGTTTGCAAATAATTATTGTGCTTTTAGTATTTCATACATTTTTTTTTCATATTCATTTGGCCGAAATTATAAGGAAGTACAGAGATATTTAAATAAAAATTGTATAAGAGTGTGAAAGAGTAATTTGAACTTACTTGTAACTCGTCGGGATCATATTTTTGCCGACACGGTTCACAGATATAGCTGTAGCGTAGTCTGAATGAGGCTGTAAGTAATCTAAGAGCTATGTAGGCGTTAAGACCGGCCATAGCTAAATTGTAAGGTACTAATAACCATGTTAATTTAAATGGTCTTCTATTCGCCATAAGCTTTGGTCCAATCCATACTATGAATAGATATAATAATGTGTATATTACTGTCGGCACTGGGGAATCTACTAAGGGCCATCCTTCTGTTCTTTTATCTGAAAAATAATATAATTAATTCTGTTTTGTAGTAAATATTTATTGCATAGTATATATATATGTATATTGGTGGCTAAATCTTTAGTATGAATGTTGTTAGTAAATATCCTTTTCCGTGGTGTATGTAATTAAATGTTTAGCTCTGTAAATACTACATCTCTTGTTTATGGGGGTTGGTACAGAACTTACAGAGGAGTAGGTTGAAAAGAGAAATAGCCATCAAAGTTATAAAGAAAAATCGTGAGAGGAAAATTCTTTTACTTAATTGCTTTAGAAGTTTAAAATAAACAATAAATAAAAGTAAATTGAAATGGTGTGAGTTATTGCCTGCAATTTAATTTAAAATGCAGCTGCATTTAATAAAAGTATTCGTGGAATGTAATGATTCATTTTAGTCTGATAGTTTAATTGGATTTTTTATATCATGGATCATAAGCCGTTCTGATCCTGAATTTTAATCTATTCTGTGAGCGATATCTAATACAATGTCACCTGAATTCTGCTGAAGTGGTAATTAAATGAGAGTTATCGGATTGGAACTTGAGTTATAGCAATTATACCCTCATAGATTTAATAAGTCAAATAGTTATTTGCTTCAAATACCAATACCAAAACATTGAATAAGACATTTTAATAATTTAGAATAAGTCTATGTTTGTTTTGAACGATTTATTATTTGTTTTTACAAACACACTTCGACTTTTTACTAACTGTAGTTTCTCTTTCTTAATTCATGCCATTTGTTAGAGTTACATTATTTGCTTGACCAAACTCACCCGACAATGAAAGTGTCCACAAATAGTACTCGTACGTATCTTTTAAGACACTTTGTGTTGAATTCACTATAGTGGCCATTTTAGTAATGTGTCATCTGAAACAAGAATGGTTCTTTGTTATTTGCGGCACAAATTTTGTTTTGGTGAATACATATCTACTTGTATAACCATTTATTTTTATTGACGACTCTTTATTTCTAACTAAACTATTAAGATTAACACAAAATGTGAAGTATTTGATTTTACTCAAGACAAACTACTATTTTGAAATGTTTCATAAATATTACTTTATGATAATATAAATCTCCTTATTGTATTGTAGCTACTTGTAGCAAGATTATTTTTGTATTAATGTATCAGCCGCAAAAGTTGGCTTATGGCTAATAATAAAAAAATGAAAAATTATTGCCATACATAATGATTTATTAACATTATTGGAATATGTATATGTATTAAATATATTCATAGATATTTCCTATATAATATTAAAAATTAGGATTTAGGAGTGTGATAGGTCACACTTTGATACGCATGAATTCTTAGAATATTTTAATAATAAAAGTGATTTCTTCTCAGAATGTGATAGTAAAAGATCTTACTACGTTCGTAATAATCACTCGAGACGTTACAAGAGGATTGTTTTAATAAACTCGTTCTTTATTTAGGTTCCACAAAAACATTTCAAAAAATAAAACACACACTTTTATTGTATTTAATTTCTTCAGACTTTACTTACAACCTTGATGAATGAAATCACTTTGTATTATTTCAATACATTGTATTAAATTAAATATCTAACCAAAGCGTCACAGGTAAGTTTATGAAATAGAAAGTCTCTTATTATATTGGCTGAATCATGGTAGAAATCCTTCTTATATAACCACTGAATTACAATTACATTTACTGCTACGCCTCAAGTTTGAGTAAGCACTTGTCACTAAATGGATTGAACTACCCCGATTAAATCGAACTATCAATTTAATTGACGTAGAATATTTGTATACTAAACACATATATTTATTACTTATCACTAAACACGGATAATATTAATGGCTTTTTTATATTATAAATAAAAAATAAATTAACTTGCTTATTGGTTCTAAAATTTCCGCCTTAAAATTTTAGGTAGTTTTCTAGTATTGGTAGACAACAAACATTCCTTTGTTATAAATATTCAATAGACACATGATCAGAGAAAGTAAATGTATGATAATAGAACACATTTTCGGTCATATATAAAACTTTTAGCTATGTTAAAAGACATCAAAAGGTTATTTGAATCGCCTTTCTAATGAGGTTATAGTTTTTTCACTTTTAGAAGATGTTATTAGTATAAAACTAATTATTTTAGTATATATTCTGTAAATAGCAGTAAAGTATATTTTATTTTCAATCTGAAACAGCTTGTTTGTAAACCTGAGTTAAAAGTACCACAGCAAATAATTTTCTTGTGTGCTTTGGCTGAGTGATCTGTGCTTTAAGAATCTTGTGAAAATGTTTGCATCATAATATATGCTTGTTGACTTGTGTTTTACATTTTATTTTTCATCACATGTTTTATAAAATAAAAATAATGTCAACCATACATTCAATATGTTCTTTCTATGATTACTTTGGAAGAAGAGATCAAAAAGTTGTCAGAAATAGTCGAAAATTTTAGATTTATGAAACCAAAACATTGCATTCAATTTCAGATGATTTTTCTCGTTAAATAATTTAAGCGTATTCGGAATTATTTTTCTGTTCCTTTTAATTAAGTTTTCTTTGTTTTGTTACGTATAAATTTTACTTAGTATTCAATATTTATTTAGTACAATAATGAAATATTGTCCTATACATTTAATCAATGTGAAATGAAAAAAGCTTCTACGGCTACTAAGTGCAAAATAATAATGTTGTCTATTTATTTAGAGAGCTAGCTCGTTTAACTTGTAGTGGGAATATTAAACATTGTATGAAAGTTCGTGAAAATAACAAGGTTCAAGTCCGTTTATATATATGTATTTAAGAGTTTTGTAAATAGTGCGAAATAAATAATAAATCGGAACATTCACTTGGGATTCAGGAACCAAGAAGAGGACTTGAGTAATGTATTAAAAAAAACTCATTATTTTTATCTATTCCTTTAATTTCTAATATTAATTTTAAGTCATATATTGTATGACTAATTAATTGTTAGTTTGACTATAATAAAATTTAACCAAAAAGTGCAAAATAAATCTCTAAACATTATCCTTATGATAAATAATATGTCTCTCATTCAGTTACAAATATTATATGAAACATTACTTTCTGTGGAAACCTTAATTCTTTCAACCTTTTAGGGATGAAAAATTCTGAATTTCTACACGAAATTTTACCTCTCCTAAACATTATTACATTTTCATCGTTTGTGTTACTCTTAAAATAAAATGAAACGTTTTATAAATTATGTTATATTTTCACATGGTAATTGTTAATTATTTAAAATAACGTTTTTTCGTTTAACAAAGTAATCTTAGACTAATGTATACAAAGTGTGTTATATTTGCTATAGTTTCTCTTACTTATTGTATGACTAGACTACATTCATCTACTATATAGACATCTGAAATGCTGCTTGACAAATAACAGCAATTCATTTTAATAGCTTTCTCGGAAGACTTAGCGGAAAACCCAGAATAATGAATGAAAAGCCTGCTTCATGTTGCAGATAAGGTCACCATAATGAGGTCAGAGCATCGAACTCGTAGTAATAGTCATCTTTGAAGTCCTATTTTTTATAGTTTTTCATTAATATTTTTTTATCATCACAACTTCTAAAGTAATTCTCAAATTTTCTATTATGATATGCGTAAATTTAAATTAATATGAATTATAAATATTCGAAAGCGTAAATGAATCTTCGACAACAAAAGAACATAATAAAATTATGAAACAATCTTACCAGTTAATATTTATTATACACATAAACTATAAAACCACACATTAGCGACGTGTGTCGCTCACGAGCTTTGTAAGACAACTGAAAGGTTTGCGCTTGCGCCGATATTACTTAAATTCCTCTACGTAGTCATTTAAAGGGCGAGTTCACACTCACAGAACTTTTTTAGACAAACAAGTTTTAAATCATTTTGGACGAAGAAGAGAAACTAGGACAAAAGAATCGATATATACTGTTCTTACACTTCTAAACGAATAATATTCATCTTTCTTTTGCTTTATATTTAAAAACGGAAAGAAATGAAATCGTTACTTTTAATTTCAAAAAACCGTATAGTTTTACAAATTTTTTTTGGTTCTTGTTTTAAAATTATTCATAATTACTTTCTTTCTAGTGCTTGTTTTTCTGATCAATTCACAGAACAAAATGTTTGGTATGATTTTTGAAAATTTTGATTTATTTAGTTTCTTCTTTTTTATATAAACATGTAAAGTAAATACTTTAAATACTATTAAAGTGTTACTGAATTATACTTAAGAGAAAATTGTTCGGCTAAGATACATCAACATCGTCAAAACATAATTGTTTTACCGCTGTGATGTAAGAAGAAAAAAATACAAGAAAAGGTATTTGCGGTTGAGCGTTATTCGCCTAACAAGAATTGTTTATGGCTGATCATACCTTTATTATTCAAGACGTCAATCTATCTTAAAATTTTTAGAACACATGGTTCAATAACTCGGAATTTTAATTTATCTATATAGCCACATTTCACTTTATGATATCTAAACATTTAATCCAATTTTATTTCGTTTTAAATCTATTAATATTGTATATAACTATTCATCAAAAGAGACACAAGATAGTGTTATTTATTTAAATATAAAATTTAGAAAGGTTTAAAAAGGTTTATCAGTGAAATTTTTATTCTATTTCCCTGAAATATGTCTATGGATTTTTATGAAACTTTGAAATTATGTAGCTGATGCTGAAGAGTGTAGTGCAATAACTCAATCTAGACAGTTGTATGTATTTTTTTATTCAGTTTTTATATGATTTAGCAAAAGGGTGCGTATGTATTTTAAGCAAAGTAATTATCTGTTTCTGGTAGACTTGAATTGGGCAGTTCATGATAGTTTGTTATATTTTTTGTAAAGATTGTTCAATTTTTGGTCTTGTTTATTATATTTTGCAGCATATAGTTATATTGATAACCATTCTTTACACAATCCGCCAAATGTGCAATGGTGGTGGTAATATTAAATAGTATTTGTCATAAAATTCCTAAGGATAATAAAGGTCCGAGTATAATTTATAATAATTAGGAAAATTCAATAGTTACAATAATTTTGAAAAACTTGCGACTCTTCAATTTATTTATAATCTGTGATGCAATAGATTTGAAATTGAAAAATGGATAAACGTTTTTGTAAGTCTCTTTATCAATTCATAAGTTTAAAATTTTTCATTGAGGGTTGACTTATATTCTCTTAACATAATTAGATAGCTGAGTTTGCAAACAATCTTAAAATTCTTAGTGGCAAAACTTCACTATATTGATATACGAGTATATATTCTCTAACGTCACAAATAGAATATAATTTTTGTTTTATTTTTAAACCAAAGACTAGTTGGTTGTCCCATAACAAAATGTTTACTAAACTCTAAAACTGCAGTAAGATTTTTTGGTTTTTTGATCCGATAGTATTTCAAATATTTAAAATTAACTTGTGTAAAATAATCGTCATTTTATATAATAGACAAAGTATGTATATAAAAAAATAAAATAAAAATATGTTCAAAGTGTACTTGAAAACAGGGTAGTTAATAGCTATTGATGTTATTTCGCTGGCATTAAATTATTAAATTTTAATAAATATACTCCTTAATCTGAAATATGTTTCAGGTTTTCATCGGTATCCTGTTTGTTATTCGTACTGGAAAATGAGGCGTAGAAATCCCAAGGGATGGACCTTTGAGTTCATCGGATCCATTGATAGAGGTTTGAGATGCGGGTTCTACTCGTGTATTGAGGGATATTTGCAATCAGTTTAGAAATACGTGTCATTGATGAATTGAGAAATAAGCGAAGTGCTACTAAAACTGTCTGACTGATATAAACATATTATGCAAGTATAATTCTGGAAACAAATAAA